AAGAGAGTTTTTCTCTTCATTTCTGAGTTGCTGTCGTGAGCTTGGAGGAGAAGGAAAAGGTGGTTGCATGCAAGCTTGGAATACCCATCAAGATATCACCTTCATTCTCACCTCTCATTGGTGCATGCAAAGGAAAAAAATCATCACCACTCCATCTCGATATCTCATTCTCCTGAACATTTTGTGAAGCTTGGTTGTTAAGGTAAGGGGCGCTCTCTCTTGTGGACTCAAAACCATGGCTGTCTATGGAGGGTTTAGTCATATGGGAATGGTTGCACTCATTGCATGTATTTATTTCATTGTATGTGTCACGTGTGTGTTCAAAACCTTGCTGAAAATTGTTTGATGAAATTTGTTGAGAACAAATTTCTACATGCATGTTATTGTTATCCTTATTTTGCTCTGTTTGATCTTTAGGAGAGCTACAAATACAAAGGAGACTCTGTCCAAATTTTCTTAGAATTTAAAAACAAGTTTTCAAATTCGAAATTCAAACTACAATGAAAGAGAGGCTGGCTGGAAAGCTGAGCCCTCTGAATCTGCTTCAATGTTTTGAGTATATTTCAAGATCTAATCGTTTGATTTTTCAAAACTCAGTTTTAAATGAAAGAGACATAAAATGGAACAACTTTCATGTTTTACACTTTTTGAGACGAGACCGTTTTCAAGCTCATCTAGGAAGAACAAAGGGACTGTCGTGTTTTGGAAATTTGGCCTGGTAGTGGGTACCTTTTCTCAATTATGCACCTTTGTGAAAATATTTTGGAAAAAGAAAAATATTTCTTAAAACTAGAGAAATAGAGCTTTCAGGTAATATATAGTACAACATTTTTAAAATCCATTTTCTATTTTTAATAATTAGGTCTTTTGGAACTAGAATTCTAAAAGTGCTTTATTGTTGCTGGAAGTTAGCCTAAGAAGAAAAAAATTGCTAGGAAATTTAGAAAATTAATTTATGCATTAACTTTACCTTTCTGGAAAGATAAATGTATTGACTTTAAAGTGTAAAAAGTATCATACATATTGAGTTTGGGAAGAGGGAAAAAATTGCAAATCTTTGAACTATGTCAAATTTGGATTCAGTTTTATCGTGCTGACTTCCAGAAATTCTATAAAATGTTATACATTTTTTTTAATCAATGAGATACCATTCTAGAAAGCTATTATAATCAACTATATCTCTATGTAAAAAAAATTAGTATTAAAAAGGTTTTACTAATTTTCTTGGAAGCATGTTTTCTATCCTATAATATAGTAGAATGAATATTGTGTCTTATGCATTGTAATTGTGTTTAACTCATGATTGAATATTGTGGTTCTTAATAATGTATTATTGGTCAAAATCATTGAGATGAGGATCTCGATCAATTATTATTGTTCCATGTGCTAGCTGTTTTATTGGAGATCGGGAGGAGTGTATCCTTGGGCACTAGATCTTGTTTGTGACTGTAGGTGTTGAGATTCAACTTAGAATGTAGTGTGCCATGACAATATTGGTCATGTAAGTGGTTCTAGAACTCAATCATGAGTCTCTACGATGGATGAGTATTTATTGTGTTGTGGTTAGTGTGCGTGAGGTAAGTATACGTGTGAGCTTGATACATGATGGACTACAAGGAGGAAGAGATGAAGAGAGTCACATGGGATGTTGTGCTAGAAAGCTAACAAAGTTTGTGAGGAAGGGTCAATTGGTGATATGGAGGACAAGGTTCTCACCTAACAAAGAGTAATGTGTTATAGTCGGGGTGAGACTTGAGTTGGGATCGTCAATTTATCTAGTACCATGTGTAGCAGTGTTGGGATTCATCCCAAGTCCCACATCGGTAAAATGAAGGAACATTGGCTAGTTTATAAGTGTCCACCATTCCACATAGTATGAGACCTTTTGGGAAGGAGCCCAAAAACAAAACCGTGCGGGCTTGGGCCCAAAGCGGACAATATCATACTATGGTGGAGGAACGGGTGGACTAGCGGGCCCTACAAGTGGTATCAGAGCCTGGTTCCGATCCAGGGACTATCGGGCCCTACAAGTGGTATCAGAGCCAACGGTTCGTCTGGGTTTGATGCGGGAAGACCCTCAGTGTTGTGCCTCGCGATGGAGATTCGAACTTGGTGCCTTGTGTCGAAAGTCTTCCTGATATTGTGGTGTTCAGGCGGCGTGTCCCGTAGAGTTAACGGCGGGACAAGATGGTGACGGATTATCGCTTGAGGGGAGGAGATCACGAGACATGTGGTCCTTGGTCTGAGGGGAGGTTTGTTGGGATTCATCCCAAGTCCCACATCGGTAAAATGAAGGAACATTGGCTAGTTTATAAGTGTCCACCATTCCACATAGTATGAGGCCTTTTGGGAAGGAGCCCAAAAACAAAACCGTGCGGGCTTGGGCCCAAAGCGGACAATATCATACTATGGTGGAGGAACGGGTGGACTAGCGGGCCCTACAAGTGGTATCAGAGCCAACGGTTCGTCTGGGTTTGATGCGGGAAGACCCTCAGTGTTGTGCCTCGCGATGGAGATTCGAACTTGGTGCCTTGTGTCGAAAGTCTTCCTGATATTGTGGTGTTCAGGCGGCGTGTCCCGTAGAGTTAACGGCGGTACAAGATGGTGACGGATTATCGCTTGAGGGGAGGAGATCACGAGACATGTGGTCCTTGGTCTGAGGGGAGGTTTGTTGGGATTCATCCCAAGTCCCACATCGGTAAAATGAAGGAACATTGGCTAGTTTATAAGTGTCCACCATTCCACATAGTATGAGGCCTTTTGGGAAGGAGCCCAAAAACAAAACCGTGCGGGCTTGGGCCCAAAGCGGACAATATCATACTATGGTGGAGGAACGGGTGGACTAGCGGGCCCTACAAGTGGTATCAGAGCCAACGGTTCGTCTGGGTTTGATGCGGGAAGACCCTCAGTGTTGTGCCTCGCGATGGAGATTCGAACTTGGTGCCTTGTGTCGAAAGTCTTCCTGATATTGTGGTGTTCAGGCGGCGTGTCCCGTAGAGTTAACGGCGGTACAAGATGGTGACGGATTATCGCTTGAGGGGAGGAGATCACGAGACATGTGGTCCTTGGTCTGAGGGGAGGTTTGTTGGGATTCATCCCAAGTCCCACATCGGTAAAATGAAGGAACATTGGCTAGTTTATAAGTGTCCACCATTCCACATAGTATGAGGCCTTTTGGGAAGGAGCCCAAAAACAAAACCGTGCGGGCTTGGGCCCAAAGCGGACAATATCATACTATGGTGGAGGAACGGGTGGACTAGCGGGCCCTACAAGCAGAACCCCACAGTGGCTAAAATTATGAACTTTCAGTGAGGAGTGTGTTAAGGAGTTAGTCCTCAAAGAACGGATGACCACAATTGGTACTTGGAGAGATTGTTGCATATAACGTGATTGTCCTTGGGGTATTGGTGTTGGGTTGTGGCAATAGTTTTCACATAGTCGACTTAGTAACTTCGATTGAGTATGAAGAATCATCAATTGGTGAGTCCACCATTGTACCATAGTTAGGGGTGTACTCCCAACAATCATATAATCTAAACTTGTGTAAGACCACTGAGTTCATATAGAGTTCGGCCACTGGCTAGTAAAAAAATTAAGAGGTTTTGTAACGAAAAACGAGTGGGAATCAAGAGTGAATCAACTAGATTGTTAGCTTGTGTGTCGGACTTTGATTATAGTCATCTGTTGTTTAACGAAACGAGGAGACTTATCTTTACATTTTATTTTCAAGATCAAATGTTAATATCAATGAAGATTGTATAAATATTTCTTCTTCACCTTTGTTATTTTTATATTTATTTATTTTATTTAGAGGTTTAGTTTTACATGCAGGAATTGGTTTAGCGATGACTGCTCTAAGTTTAGGACCATTTTCTTCTATGTATTTGATTTAGGTAGATCTAGGCTTAAGAACTTTTGGCATATGTATATGTAACCATATTTCTTTTTACTATATTTTTTTCGTTATACTTATATATCACTCAGCTTAGAAAAAATAATTATGTTATTATACTCCTTATTTTATGAATATGTATAGGTGTTTTAATAAAAAAATATATCATTTATTTTGTCTTAATCTCTTTTTAAATACATGCTTGAAAATGAGATGTTACTATGTTTACAGTTTTAAAATTTTAAAAAGGAACATTTCATTTACTATCTGATGTTAACATTAGAACTAACTAATGTTCTTCTTTTAAAAAATCATTTAAAATTAGAGCTCATATTTTCTCAACTTTACATGATTCATTAAAGAAAATAAAACAATCATGTGAGAAAAAAAATCAAATCAACTTTAAATAGTGATCATGTGTAAATCTAAATTTAAGGTGTCATAATAGAGGTGTGGTTTTGTTTGCCTTTGCTGCCAATATTGGCTTCTACTATGTGATTCAAGCATAATTGTGGGTCATATATATTAGGGTGACTCTTGGAATAGAGCATACAGGAGGGTTTTGGTGGAGACGAACTCTTTAAATGTAATAGCTTTTCTTCAACAAGGTTGTGGGTCTTATCACCTATGTAGGGGACAATCTGAGTTGGTTTCATGTCTTTTGGGGAGCAAATCAAGTTGTTGATAAGTTAGCTAGTTTTGGATTATCTTTAAGTGATAGTTTGATAATTTTTTTTATGTTGTTTTGCCTTTCTGTATTTTGCTTGTTAACGTTAACGATGATATAATTTTTGTTTCTTTTTCTCACGAGTTTAATTGATTTTTGTTAAAGTATTATCCCCTTCAATTAAAAAAATATAAATTATATTTTAAATTTTAAATAAATAATTTATATTATAAAAAATATTTTTAATTATTGATAGTTCATTTCAAAATATTAAAATTTAATTCATAAATAAATATAATAATTAAAAATAAAAATAAATAAAAAAAATAAAAATCTCTAAAAATATCCCTATAAAAAAATAACTCTTAAAAATATTTTCCATAAAAGAATATATGTTGGGGTTCTCTTACTTGATAAATTCTCCCGTTTTTTATAAAATTAAAACTTAGTGGAGCTGTTCAAATTTATAAGATGTGGCAAGAATATAGAAACGGTTAAAGAGAGAGAATGTGAGCGTAGCGGTCAGTAGAGTGGAGAAGGTTTGAGAGGAAAAGGTTAGTTGTTGTGTTGTCTGTGGGCTGCAACCTGGCCCATAGTTTTATAAATTTAAAATAATTAGTAATAATTAATCATTAATTGATATTTGGATGATGTTGTTTTGGTTTCGTTGTGACGGTTGGCGAAGGTGACGATGGAGTGAACTTTGTTTGTGTTGCTCTTGCTCCCAACCAACAGCAACAGGCGATGATGGAGGTTACCCATTTGACCACCTCTCGTTCCGTGTCTCAATGTCATCACGGCTTTGCCAGAAGACCTTTCCAATGCACACACAACCATATTAGATATGGTTACGGCCCGCACTTCCTGCGCCATCGCCTCTCCGCGCCGTTCAAAACGCTTCTTCGCTCTAAGCCCTCTTCCCTTCGTCCCATCCACTTCACTTCTCAGGACCAACAACACGCTCTTCTCACTAATTCAGACGAGGATGATCAGCTTCAGCCCAATCCCGCTGAGTAAGACCTATTTTCACTTCTTCTTTTGTTACGCGCACGAACACTAATAATATCTTCAATTCTTTCAGTCAATTGCCACCCCATCAAAATCAAAAACCTCAGAATGTGGATATCAAGCGAGAGCTTCTATTGCTGTCTTTGCCCGCCGTTGCCAGTCAGGCAATTGATCCCTTGGCTCAGTTGATGGAAACCGCTTACATTGGTCGACTCGGTTTGCACCTTTCCTAAACCTAATCCTATCGCTCTCCACTATTCTATCATTTCTACTTCAATTCATTTCCTGTTATCTATTATTCATTCATAGGCACTGTGGAATTGGCTTCTGCGGGTGTTTCCATGTCCATCTTTAACATCATTTCTAAGCTCTTTAATATTCCCCTTCTAAGTGTTGCTACTTCCTTTGTTGCCGAGGACTTAGCTAAGGCTTCTACTCAAGATTCTGCTTCAGGTGTCCACCTTTTTCATTCAGCTCCCTCGCTGCATTCTCATCCTTATCTAATGCCATTATTCACTTCCGCTGCAGATGAAGCTGGTCTTCAAAATAGTGGCAATGGTAAACCTTTCAAAAGAGTTTCTCAGAGAAAGCAACTATCCTCTGTCTCCACTGCTTTGCTATTGGCACTGGGCCTTGGCATTTTTGAGGCTTTAGCTATGTCCCTGGGATCTGGAGCATTTCTACATTTAATTGGTGTATCAGCAGTATGTTTTCACCTTATGCGTTTATTTATTATACCTAGTTAAATGTGGGATACTTTTTGTTGCTAATACTGATTACAACTCTATATAACCTTTCTCTTCAATCCTGTTTTAAATATGTGATTTGTAATCTTCTTTTCAACAGCAAAATCCAACACGTGTTCCGGCACAGCATTTTCTATCTTTAAGAGCTGTTGGCGCTCCTGCAGTCGTACTTTCTTTGGCTCTTCAAGGCATTTTCCGTGGTTTTAAGGATACCAAAACTCCTGTTATATGTTTAGGCAAGTGTTTGGATTAGCGTGTGTTTCTTTGTTAATATTGTTTGCATGTACTCTAATACCTTCCGTTGCCATTATCAGCTCCAAAGTTCAACATTTTCTTATCCTTTTGAAGGATCATGCTATACAACAATTCGTGAATACATTATTATTATTATTATTATTATTATTATTAACTAACTCGCATAAATCACTGAAAAATAAATTTCCCATCATTGCATCCAATCCTTGCTTCGGTAATAATCTGTTCCACTTCAAAAATTGACTTTGTCTTAGCCTTTTGAAGGCCTTTCTTATGGTCATGATTCTTGAGAAATTGAATAACTTGAATTTTCTCATGAGCTCACAAAAGCCACTGAAAAATATACTCGGTGTTGCAGCCATACTACCCACTGTTTCCTATTGCCAGTGCTTAGGTTATGGTTTTAAGGATTGCATACAAAAAAGCCTTTCTATACAAGACGTTAATAATAATCTATTGGGAAAGTTGGAAGCTAACTGTGAATTGTTAGTAAATGGTAGGAAGCTCGAGATGATAAGATGGCAATACCATTCTGATTAATTGTGTTTGGAACATGCTTATACTGATCATAGAGCTACTTAAATTAATGCATTAAGTTCACCCAATGATGTAAACAGAAAATTATGCGTACAACTTTGAAGCTGGACTTTGCTCCTTCGGATTTTTTTATGATAATTTTTCCCCTATCCAGCATTTATCACGAGTACATACAACTCTAAGGAATTTACAAAATTATCATAGCATGTTTTGCTGAAGAGTATCTTGAAAAATAATTTTAGATTTTTATATCTGAAGTGTTCTTGTTGTTTTATTTTCTTCTAAGATAGATTAAAACTTAAATTTTGTCATTATATTGTAAGTATGTATGTTTGTGCTAATCCCTCTAAGAAAATGCAGGCATTGGTAACTTTTCAGCTGTCTTTTTATTTCCCTTACTTATGTATTACTTTCGGTTGGGTGTAACTGGTGCAGCCATTTCCACAGTTCTCTCTCAGTAAGTCCTTTTCAAAAGCATTATTTTCTTATTCTATTTCTTGACTTGATTTAACTCTAATTAGGATGGAATTTTTATACCTCAGATATATTGGGGCCGCATTGATGATCTGGTGTCTGAATAAGCGAGCTGAGTTACTACCTCCAAAGATGGGAGATCTGCAATTTGGCAGTTACATTAAATCTGGTGAGGATTTGTCTCTTTCTGGGTGGTTTCTGACCTGAGATTAAAGAGTGTTGCTATAATAATTTTCTCTTCCTTGAAAAAAGTAAGAAAAAAAGGGAATATAATAATGAGTTAATCACTTATATACTGCCAGTGTAAAGTTTTTTTACACTGGCAACCAATTATATCTTTTAATTGTGTCATGTCACTGTAAACACATTTACTTTTAACAGTGACATGGCACAATTAAAAAATATAATTGGTTACCAGTGTAAAAAAACTTTACACTGACAGTGTATAGGTGATTAACTCTATAACAATTAGGTACTAAATGCAATCTCAAACACTGTTTTTATGGCAAATTCCAATCAAAAGATCTCACCTCCATTTTTTTTACCTGTTTCTGTTTTGTAAATTTTCATTTTTAAAGGAAATAGCATTGATAGAACAAGTGAGTGTTTGGAATGGATTATTTTTAGAGATTATTTCAATATTCAATTATAGATATAATTGATTATTGATTTAATCAATTATGCCTAAAAATTATATTTGAATATTTAGGTGAAAAGTGATTTTATAATAATATATTTCATTTGAATTTTCTAAAATAATCAATTATTTTACAATAAAATTACAAAAAAAAAGGATATTAAGTTATTTGTAGTAGTTGATTTTGTATTTAAATTAATAAAAACAATTCTCATGAAGAATGCAGAATTATAAATCTAAGCTATACAATCATACATAAATGGTTAAGATTAAAAGTTAGTTAGTGGTCATATGACTACTTAAAAATGTAATGTGTATCTTTTAATCTTGACAATTCAACCATACTTACATGTCTCTTATTGAATATTTGTCGTTCAAGTTAAGAATACAAGATCACTGGCATCTGAAACATGATTCTTTTCTGAATCAGAAATTGGTAAATTATGGTAGGTACAATCTGATTTAGAAAAGATTAATGTTTCAGATGCCATCGAACTTTTAGTCTCGACTTGAATGATAAATGTTCAATAAGAATAATAACAAGTTATTTTTGACATAGCAAAATTTGTTTGGGAGATGGAGCAACCTCAAGAAACTTAAGTAATTTTCTGGAAAAGGCACTTGTGAGCTTAAGAAAATGCTGATCTCTGTTACTGCAATAAAATGGATGTCAGTCACTTATTGGATTTCCCAGGTGAAAATAATGAATGTTCAGAGGTCCAAAGCTTAGAAGAAATCTGACTAATGTAATTGAAAATCTTATAGATGAAGTTGAGGATGATTTAGTATCTTTGGAACCAATCATGCAAAGGGAAGAATTCAGAGAGGCAACGACTCTTCGCATTTTTTTTGTTGTAATTCAAGAACATAATACCAGAGCTTTTAAATTCAATGAGAATAAATAGACATGCTACTTTAAATTTCAAGAAGAAAAAACAATAGATTCCTATTATTCTGTTAGGTTAATGTTGCTGTTTCAGTGATGATCTGTGGGCTGCTACAGGTGGTTTCCTTCTTGGTAGAACACTTGCTGTTCTTTCAACCATGACATTGGGGACATCAATGGCTGCTCGTCATGGTCCAGTAGCTATGGCTGCACATCAGATATGTTTGCAAGTATGGTTGGCTGTTTCCCTTCTTACAGATGCATTGGCTGCATCTGGTCAGGTATTGAATCATCCATTATGAAAGTTTGTATATTTTTCAATCATTTCATCTAGTAATAATACTATCTTGTCTTGCAATGAAGCAAGTTAAGTCATCAAAATCCAGACTATAATGGAATAATACAAACATAACTTTGTTGTAGTTGTTACTCTTAATTAGACAGGCTTTGTTGAACAACTTGGGAAGATTTTCAGTTGGTTTTACTTTGACACTTTTTTACATTTTTAAGTCAGTTTCTTTTAAGCTTGGCATTTACTTACTTCATTACTGCTTATTGTTTGTATATCCCTTTTTACTTATATTGCTATGTTATTATTTGTAGGCCCTTATTGCAAGTTCTGTATCCAGACGTGAATACAAAGTTGTGAAGGAAATTACTAGTTTTGTATTGAAGGTAAGTGTTTCTTTTTTGTGCATTGAATTTTGAGCCTTTGATGTCTTTCATTCATTAGTTATTCTCAGAATTTATGTAAGCTATAGTCGTTTAACTTTGTAAAAGGAAGTTTTATGAAATTTTTTGAGAACCTGATTTTGTCTTTCCAGATTGGACTGGTAATGGGTATTGGCTTGGCTGCAATTCTGGGTGCATCGTTTGGATCTTTATCGACCATTTTTACTCAGGACTTTGAAGTCTTGCAGGTGGTCAGAACTGGGGTGTTGGTATGTATGTTATTGCTGATTGATTTGTCAGTATTTGTTTGTGTTTGTCTATACTTCTGCCTCAGATTTACTCTTGTCTGTGATTGTTGCTAGTTTGTCAGTGCTTCTCAACCATTTAATGCACTGGCATATATTTTTGATGGTCTCCATTACGGTGTTTCTGATTTCCGATATGCTGCTTTCTCCATGGTAAGTTGTTTGCTTTTCGAAATGTGTTACAATGTTTCTTTCCTAGTACATATCCTGCTAGATGTTAACTTTGATGATAATTGCTTCACAGATGTTTGTGGGAGCAGCCTCCTCTGCATTCTTGGTATTTGCACCTTCACGTTTTGGCCTTCATGGTGTATGGCTGGGCTTAACTCTCTTCATGGCTCTTCGTGCAGCAGCTGGTTCTGTCAGGTAAAATAGCACATAAACATTGTGTGTATTGGGAAGAAATGTTTCATGTTGTTTCTATCTTGTTAGAACAAAAAATAGGTTACTCTACCCATTGTATGACTATGTTAACTTCATACTTCTATTTATCCATCTATGATTAGAATATTTTGTTATACATCTTGGGCTAACAACAAATTTGATCTGATAATATTTAAATGAGAAGTATGCAATAATATGCATGATTGAGCATACTATCATGGACGAGTGCCATGATTGAACCTTTAATGAATTTCTGATAAAAAAAAAAATCACCAAGAACCTGCCAATTCTGCACTGACCAACTGTTCTGATACCAGTTGATAGAACTGGTATCATAATAGTGAAGAAGAACAATTTTTTAATGAATGAATCTGGGGAGAAGCCCTTAGGGAGCAATAGATGATTCCGTATATTTCAGAAAGTCTGAATCAACTCCATACACTGTTTACAATTATTCCTATTTATAGGCAGATATTGGTTTACAACCTATAACTGAAACCCACGTTTAATGGGCCTAATTTGTTGCAGGTCCATTCCCCTTCTTTTAAGTCAAATCCTTGCATTTCTTTGACCATCTAACCTAATTTACTAATGACTAACATAACTGATGGATATCTATCAGTATCACTCTGTCCTTTCAGTAGATTTGCTTATGCTATTAGTGTGGCTCTATTATTGCATTGTCTAGCTGTGCTTTTAAATTTATTTATTTTTATCCTTTTGTGGTTGAATCCTTTGTGCTTTTAAATTTTCAGATTACTATCAAAGAATGGTCCTTGGTGGTTTCTTCACAGGGATTTACAAATTGCAGAGGTCAATGTCTACTTCAACAATTCCTAACATGTCTCTGCCTTTTGCTGCAGTTAATCATTTTGGGTGTTTATTTTTCTCGCAACTTATGAATATAATAGTGTTAACTTTTTTACCTTTCTGTCCTTAGCATAAATCAGAATGTTAAGATGAATGTGTGGCCATACAAGAAAGGACGTGATACCAAATTATTGTATATGAAAAGATATTGATGTAGCACCAATTATGAAAAAAGATGATAGAAAATCAGTTAAAGTGGTGGTTTGAACATGTTCAAAGAAGGTTATTGGAGCTGTTGGTGAGGAGAGTAGAATGCACGTTTAGTCTTGTGAAAAGGAGGAGATGGATAGCAAGGAGGACATTGGGAAGGGAAATCACATGGTAAATAACATCTATGAAGATTTGGTCTTTAATCGAGTAGAATGTTGTGTATTCCCTGTAGCTAGCCTCACCTAGTATAGTAAGACTTTGTTGATATTATTGTAAATTTATTGGTGAACTAGGGCGTGCTTAATCCCGTTAATCAGATATTGAGGAAAACAATTTATAATTTATAATTTTTTTCTGTTGGTTAATATTATGTGACGAGGCTCTTAACATTCTTGATGGATATTCGTGCTTGCAGGTGGTCTCATGAGTCTGAAGGTGGAGAATATATGGATGAAACACTGGAAGTGACATTTTGAAGATGATTTTCATTATCGGATACTATATTTAGATGTTAATTTAGAATTTGGGATTTTCCATTGTGCCCGTTTAGAGAATAGGACATTTTAGAAGCATTTTTTTTATAGGTTCTCGTAATGTAATTCATCATTTGAGTCTTATCAATTGGTGTTATTATATGGCAACTCTTAAGTACATTTTTGTGTAAAGGAAAGTGGTTCAATTTAGTATTTTTTTAAAGCCCAAATCGCATTGCTGGCTGCAGCTTTATCTGGTCATATAGATAAACAGACCCTCCTGGTTATACACACATGACCTTCATAATTTTCACTATCAAATCTTGTTTGTTCTTATTTCGTTTTAAGCGTCCTTGTTTTCTAATTGTATCATATATACTCCCATGTTAATGGAAAAGGATTTTTGAATAGTTTTTTTTTTTGGAAAAGAGTAGAACAAAAGTGTGCATAATAACAAGTCGAAAATAAATATCTTCTCAAGTTATTTCGCTTCATCTAATGACAGAAACTGAATGCAAATTGGATTTGACTGAATTTCCTTCAATATTTAGTGAAGATCCTAGGGTATGTGTTGCATTTTTAAGACTCTAGTTGCAACAACAATGGTAATTACATGCTATCAAAAAAAAAAAAACAGTGGTATTTACATAACTAATAGTTTCATATTTACGTCTTTTATATCAAAGATAACGACCGTTGAATATATAATTGGATGGAGAGTGAGAAAATCCAAAAAGTTCAACGTGGATGAAAAATGTTTATTTGTATATCTATTGACAAAGAATCATATTTATTCAATTGATATCAATTATGAAAAGTGATACTGCTTCCGTACAATCTCCAATATAAAACAACAGAACTTTTCATGATGAAAGAAGATAATATAATTTTTCATATTCTGGAATTTTCTCACGCCCCATGAGAGAGAAAAGCAAGACATAAGTTGGGTAACTTGGTTCTTTCTTGAATCTATTCATATCAATTTGTAAACTCAATTGAAATTAGCTCAAGTCATGTCAGTGTTTGATATTTTAGGGTATTAATTTTTTCTAAACTTTTCTACTTCCTTGCATAATTAATTATCTCAAGTGATGATCCAACACAACACACAAGAAGGTAATAACAAGAACCTTCGTGACAAAAAAATAAAGAGGCAGTGTTTCAATCAACATTACATTACAGAAAAGAACTGCAGCTGCAGCCTCTTATTTCATTGGGTGGATCAAAGTTATGAAACTTTAGAGACGTGTCGCATCGCAATCAAACGAAAGTTAATTAAAATTGTTTAAGCCCGAACCTAGCCTCCCGAATGCAAGAAGCTAGGGGCAGGCAAATGAAAGTTACAAGTGTCACAGAATGCATGTCTGTCTGAAGAAACATTATTACATGAGAAAGGCGAGCAAAAATTAAGGCGAATTGTTGTTCCGATAATATAGGGGGGCGAATGGTGAGAAATAGGAAAAGAAATTTACAAAGTTTTATTGCAAAAAGTGTGAGTGAAATGGCAGGAAAGATTGAAGAAGAATTTACTAGCCGAGGTTGGCAATGACAGCATCAACAATTTCCTGTGTATTGCTGTCTCCACCAAGATCTTTAGTCCTGTACTTCCCCCCTGAAATGACACGCTTCACAGCAGTCTCAAGACGGTCAGCAAATGAAGGAAACTGAAGATGCCTCAACATCATGGCCGATGAGAGTAGCAGAGCCACTGGATTAGCCTTTTTCTGCTCCACCATATTCTCATTTCCCACATTCCCTGCCGATGCACCTTGCTCAAACACCGCGTGGTCAGCCCCAACGTTCCCTGCAGTACACTATTAATTACTCATCTATCAATCATCTGTCATTGCAATTTCCAAGTACATTGTGATTATTACCTCCTGGCATGACACCAGTGCCTCCGGCAATACCAGCTGCCGTATTAGCCACTAGATTTCCATAAAGATTAGGAGTGACCTAAGATTAAAAAAAATATAAAAAAAAAAAGATATGAGAGAGGAACGGAAGATGATCTATACTTAACAGTTAACAGTTAACACTAACCATAACATCGAACTGCTCGGGTTTGGAGACAAGTTGCATGCAGCAATTATCGACAATAATCTCGTTGTACTTGATACCAGGATATTTGGTTGCAACCTGTCGGCAAGATTCTAGAAAGAGACCATCTGCGAGTTTCATGATGTTGGCTTTATGGACGGCGGTGACTTTCTTCCTGTTATTCAGGTATGCATACTCGAAGGCATATTTTGCAATACGTTGGGAGCAGAACTTGGACATAACCTGATCCAAAGACAAAGTTGTAAGTAAATTGAAAATGAAATGAGAGAAAAGCAATAAGTATAAGTAAGAAAGATTGCCTTGAGGCTCTCGACAACGCCAGGAACGACCTCGTGCTCGAGGCCAGCGTACTCGCCCTCGGTGTTCTCCCGGATGACGACGATGTCGACGTTGTGGTGGCGCGTGGGCAAGCCAGGCAAGTTGAAGCAGTTGACGAGGGAAGCGTAGAGATCGAGGTCCTTTCTGAGCTGGACGTTGAGGGAGCTGACTCCACCACCCACCGGAGTCCTGAGCCCACCCTTGAGGCACACCTTGTTCTTCCTAATCGATTCCAGCACCTCCTCCGGAACACGCCTCATGTCCCCGTGTACCTCGTACTTCTCGAAGTAAAGCGGCGCGTGCATCGCCTCCATCACCTGCTCCACCGCGTTCGTCACCAGAGGCCCAATTCCGTCCCCTGGTATCAGCGTCACCCCCCGCGGCGCCCCGTCCCCCGGTCGAGGCATATACGTCACGCTCCTTCTTATTTGCTTCATCGCCTGCATCGCTGACATTCTTACTTTACTAACTTCCTCCCTCCGATCTGATCCCACCTCACAAAGGTAAGCAACTTTACTTCACCATCTGCTCTTTCCAATTTCCATTAATGCCCCTCTTCTTTACTCTAATGTCTAATCCAAACCACACCATCATTTTTTCTTTTTCTGAAATAAAAGGGAATATTTATTTTTAGGAAACCATATGCTCATGCTCATGCTCATGGTGCTATTACAATTTCCATATGCTACTTAATACACACTCTTTTAACCTTTTATTTGAATTTATTGAAAATAGTAAAACCATAAGAGATAATTGTTAAATATTTTTTCATAATAAGTATTGTATTAGAATAAAAAATTCATCTTAAAATAAGTATTACAATATCTTTTTAGTATAGTAATAATTGTTTTTTTTAGTATTGTGTAAAATTATTACTTCATTCCTTTATTTATTTATTAATTTTTTATTTGTATAAAATAATCTAAGAATACACTCGGAAGAAATAAGTTTGGAGACACATCCTCTATTATGATTTTTCAATAAATTTCGAATTAAAAAGGGCTGTTCCCATAATTAGAATTAACAGTACAAGTACAGGAGAGGGGGAAAAGGATAGGTTTAGGTAAAGAAATGTGGATTGCGAAGAACAAATACTGGGTTCTGAGGCATGGCAAGAGCATTCCCAACGAGCGAGGCCTCATCGTTTCTTCCATGGTTTTCATCTGCCTTTTAAATCTTATCGATTCATGGCATTGCATGGCTTATTAAACTTGAATCGCAGGAAAATGGGACGCGCCCTGAATACCAACTGGCGTCCGACGGTGTGGATCAGGCGCAACTCGCTGCTAAATTATTCCAAAAGGTAAATGGATCCACTCTCATTTTTCTCTAATTAAGCCCGATATCCGCAATTGCTAGATGCCCTTTCATTTTCGCGACATGCACTGGATTCTCTGTGACTCTAGATTTTTATGTCAAAAACCATGCCAATTTCAATTTCCTTTAACCTTGCCATCTTCTCTATAACCTAGGGATAAGCTTAACTTTGTTCATCATGCACAGGAGCTAGAGGCTAATAATATACCGCTTGCTAATGTACGCATTTGCTATTCCCCATTCTCAAGAACTAGCCACACCGCCAAAGTTGTTGCAGCTGTCTTGGATCTTCCTTTTGACAGTCCCCAGTGTAAGGTAAGCAATTCAGCCGCTGCAACTGCAAGAACCCACGTTCCCACTTCTATCAATTTTCATTTATTTTCTCTCTCAATATCATATATATCTGTTTTCCTCTAAGCAGGTGATCGAAAATCTTCGAGAACGCTACTTTGGTCCTTCATTTGAACTTTTGTCGCATGATAAAGTAAGTGATGCTCAATGCCACTTTCTTCACCTGTTGGAAGGGCTTTTTATCTGTTCTCTGCATCATTTTTGTTATAGAAATCTTGGATGTTCGGAATATTTGTCAGGTTCTAATTCAGTTCATTACCACTATTTAAAGATTCTGGTGCATATAAGTATTCTCAAACCAACTGTAGTTTGCAACTCATTGATTTTCTCTTTCCTTTTATCAACAGTATGCAGAGATTTGGGATATAGATGAAAAAGATCCACTTGTTGGGCCAGAAGGAGGGGAAAGTGTCAAGGATGTTGCTTGTAGACTTACAAGCGCAATGGCCGTTATGGAATCAGAATTTGAAGGGTTGTAATTTCTGTCTAAAATATCAGTAGAAGGTCTTCTAGTAATATGTGCAACAAATCTATTGGCGGCCTGCAGTTATTTCATGCTGCCAAAACACACTTTAAATTTAGAACCGTTAGAACATAGTGATCTAACATAGTGCCCATTTGTTTTAAACTTTTAACGTTTAGATTGATTTTGATAGAATTAAGTTTAAACCGTTAGAACGTAATTCGGATGTGTATCCAAATTAATCTCAGCCGTACATTTATATTGAAACATTGGAAAGTGTGAAAATTGATTTTCTAAGGTCAAAAGAAACCTGTATTCTGCCTGTTGTTACAAAATGGAGTATTATTCTTGATGGAGATGTTCATATTTCCTAAAGTATGTCTTGGTATTTTTAATTCATATTCTATCGGCTAATGCAATTCTTTCCGCATCTTGCAGATGTGCAATTTTGGTTGTCAGCCATGGGGATCCCCTGCAAATCTTGCAAACAATTCTTCATGCAGCTAATCAACTCAAGGAACCCACAGATAATGACCTAGCATCAACACTAAAGGCAGTTCAGGTGGCACCCATCTTGTCTCAGCACCGCAAATATGCATTGCTTACCGCAGAGCTCAGGGCAGTTATTTGAGATTTTAGGTTTAGGAGAAAGGCAACAGGTCTCCTAGAAAGAATCATGCGAGATCCCTGTATGATCTCATTTCAGAATTCAAAACAGCTCCCTTGTAATTTTTTAGGAACCGGGATCTAATCTCGTTTTGGTCCCTATTCCATTTATTAGGTTATTGAATATTTGGCGAATAATTTCAATCGGGAATAGCATGACATCTGATGTTAATTTCAACCAGAACCTCAGTCACGGCCGAACATTTTGCACATAATTCCTCCCAGTGTGAGTGATTACGCCTCGTCAGCACCTGGTACTGGGATCACAAAATCCAGCAATTTTCACCTAGGACCAAAAGCTATCCTGTGAAGTATTCATTTTGGTTTTTCTTTAGCAACCAGCAAAGGCCTCCAATCTGGTAGGCCACGTACATTTGATCACCACCACTATTAATATCATGGTTGAATAATGTTTGTACGTGGGTTGAGCTCAACTAATCAGTTATTGGGCTTGGCCATTTGCCAGGAGAGTCTACAACCTTCCTGTTGTGGTAGAGAATTATGATGAGATCAAGTGTTGGGCTTGGCCATTCCACGAGAGTTTAAATGCAAAAGTGAGATTTAGTAGAATTGAAGCGACTATTAGACTTACTATTCATATAAATATTTGATTTATAAAATTAAGTCATTCTAAATACAACACTACAAAATCATCAATAGTGTTAAGTATATACTCTTCTATTCCATGACTACTTAAATTATTGTTGATTAATTTGTTAGAGTTAACTAATAAATTATTTTTTATGGGAAAGATTTTTTAAAAATTATTTATTATACTTAAATCAATTATCAATCCAATCAAATTAATACAATTTTATTGTAAAGCTTCTTTGATTTATTTACATTTCAAAGCATCATATAATAGTTACTTTTAAACTTTGATGATTGGATGAAAATTGGTTCCGCACTTCCCTATCCAAATAAAATTTAGTGGTGAGGTTGAATTAGTATAAGTCCTAAGTTCAAACTATTGCGCTGTATATAACTTGTAGGATAAAAAAATTCTTGTCCGAAATTGATCATGAAAAAATTGTTCAAATTTTGTATCTAAATTAACTTATAAAAATAATATTTTTCTATATAGTAGTAATGTTTAATTAATAAAAGTCTCATTTTATGATTAGTAATTAATTGTCAGTTTGAGACACTGTATAAATATGTCCATAGACAAAAGAAATGATAATGAAAAATATAGTTAAAATATTGCGAATAAGAATTTAACAAGAAAGATTGTGAAAATCTTGACGGTTTAATAGAATTAAAATTTATTGTGAATAAATATTTTAAATATATAAATTATATTTTATATTTAAAATGATTAATTTATGTTCTGATATAATGTTATTTTTAATTATTGGTATTTTAAAAATTAAAATTTGATTTAAAAAAAGATGAAAATGATAAGAGTAAATTTGATTTAAAAAAAGATGAAAATGATAAGAGTAAATTTGATTTAAAAAAAGATGAAAATGATAAGAGTTAAAATATCTAAAGTATTTTTGTTGATTTTTTTTCATATAAAATGTGCTTTAAAAAAAAAAAAAACTCTTGAAAATGTTATAAATAAGTCTAAATATAATAAATTATTAACATTTGAGTGATTACTGGCTAATTAATTAAAAAACGTGGGGTAAAAAAAAAAAGATTGAAAAGAAGAAGAAACCGCCAAGTAACCGTCGTATGGGGTACAAAAGGCAATGAGCGTGGATGGGGAAAAGGTTTTGGTTGAATATGAACGCAGAAGCAACTTGTTCGTCTTCTTGTTTATTTGTGGGGAAGAAGCGTAGCAGAATGGGGGATGATGCGTGGAAGGGGAAGAGATCAGAGGCGGAGGGTGAGCCTCGTCCGTGCACGGAATGCGGGAAGAAGTTCTGGTCATGGAAGGCTCTCTTCGGGCACATGCGATGCCACCCTGAGAGGCAGTGGAGAGGGATCAATCCTCCTCCGAATCTGAATCTGATGAGAGCACAACAGCAGCCGCGTGATGAGCAGGTGAGCGTGAGCATGAGCATGAGCATGACACAGGAAGACCACGAGGTGGCTGCATGTTTGCTTCTTCTTGCAAATGCAAATGCAAATGCAAATGCAAATGCAAATGCAAATGCAAATGCAAATGCAAATGCGTCTTGTTCTGATCAGTTCGAGTGCTCCAGTTGCAACAAGGTGTTCGGGTCCCACCAGGCTCTGGGAGGGCACCGCGCGAGTCACAAGAACGTGAAGGGGTGTTTCGCCAACAGTGAGGAGAACAACAATGGACACAAGTGCAGCATATGCCAGAGGGTCTTCTCCACTGGGCAGGCTCTTGGAGGCCACAAGCGGTGTCATTGGGACAAACCCTTTCACTCTCTCGACTTGAATCTCCCTCCCCCTTCCTCCTCCTCCTCCTCTCCTCCCCTCACTCTTGATTTGACTTTGGGACTTTAATTAGGTATTACAATACTCCTCTCCTCTTATTGTATCCCTTTTTTAATTCTTATTATTATTCTCTCTCATTCCCTTACCTATATATCTTCATCTTCTCCCATTATTACATTCTTAACAATAATTTTCAATTGCACATATATATATATATATATATATGGATCAAACCCTTCCTCTTCATTTATGTTTTATTACACCGCACAACTAGTACTTCATATATATGCTAGAGCCTACAGGTGCAACTTGGGCTCCACTCCTTCTTTAAAACATCAAATATCTTCTTACCATTTAACCCAACACCGCACTTCTCCAATGTTCTGCATCTTATTTACAGCTGCATGCCATTCAGACAATAATAAAGGATCAAATATCAGTATAATAGAATCAAATGTGCATAATAGGGTTATTTATTTTTTTTATTCAAAGGGAATGGAATGAAATTAACCTTTTTTCATTTCATCATAAAATTATCTAAATAATGAACTCATTGTACTTTATTTCGTTTTATTCACTATTAAATATCTAAACCAATTTTATGATGCAGCTCAAACAAAGAGGATACTATTAAATTTATAATTTAACATATATAAATAATAATAATAATAAAAACTCTAAGGCCATTTCACGGTAGAAGTAGAACCCAGTTTGGGTTCTTATTTTACTTTTTTAATTGGATTCTTATTTTACTTTTATGGGCTTGTTACTTCCACGTCAGATTTTAGAACCCAAATCTTAGGGAATCCTCTATAAGAACAGGTACTCTAGCATGGAGAATAGAGTCTTCACTAATAAAAGAACTAAGCAAGAACATGTTATTAATTATTTTAAGAAATCTTTTAAGAACTTGCATTAGATATGTCCTAACACATGAAATTATATATTATCATTAATTATTAAAATTGAGCCATGACTTAGGTTAGGATAATGAAATTTCTAATGGGAGGTTTTAAAGAAAATCAATAAAAGCATAATGTGTGGTATAGTTCAATTCTCACAAAAGAAACCGGATATCAACACAAACTACACACACAACAAAATATGTTTTTCACTTTGATTTTATTTTATTTTATCAGTTTAGCAACTTAAAATAGTCTGGTTCAATTTTGAACACGTTGTCATTTATATGAATATGCACTCAAGTCAAGCTCATGACAGTTCTTTAATGTCACCTAGCTCTACTTATGATTAAAGGACATTTGAGTTTTTAACAGATGCAATAACAGTGATGAAGTAGGCACATAATGAGGCATGAAACCCAGGGGTTGGATATCAATAGCCGCGTGACATTGTCCCACATTAATTGAAAAGGCATCTCACATAGAGATTACAAAATCCTTTATTGTACCAAGTGTCCTTACATTTATCTCTAAAACTTCAGGAATCTCAAATTGTTATAACAAAGGATGCTGGGATGAACTGAGGTTCAAATTATTACACGGTTAAACTAATGATTGAATTGGCATAGCAAAAATAGTTCTTTACAAGTGGCTCAGATCAAGACACCTTCAATGACATTTGACTTTATCAGCAAGCCAAGCTTGGGGAACTCTAATTTCAGGTTTCACTATTAGGCTCAATTGAACCCAAGATGGTCCTAACCACTCAAATCCCTTATAAGGTCGAGGCAAAAATTTGAAGCCCAATAAGCTATTCAATGCCCACACCACATGGTACTTCTCATGTTCGAAACCAAAAAATCCCTATCACTTGTTCACATACTTCACATCAGGAGTTCCAAAATATTAAATAGTAAAAAGGGCTCTCTTTCTATTAGGATTACCCCATAGTTATCGGTTAATGAGCTGAAATGACATGATTATAACTCACGTATATCCAATCACCGTAAATAAAGTACTTCCAACATCATTAGATAAACTTTCTATCCCATATATTGCGTCTTAATACAATTTACATTTACATTGATTTTTGATTTTTTTTACTAAAAATAATGTGTGTTTTTTTTATTTTTTATAAAGAAACTCTTGGAAATTTTTCTAAATTTGTATTTAAACATATTTATTGTATATGGTTGATATACGTACTAACTTGAACATAAGTGTCTTTGAAAGTATTTATGTGTTTCCTTTCTAGAATTGAGAAGGCTGGAGTTAGATCTTATTAAAAGAAAAGAAGAAAAAAAAAAAAAAATGAAGCTATTCACTTTGTCCGTCTATTTATTATCTTACAAAAAGAATGAAGATACGATCATGAATAGTCATTTGAATCTATATAGTTGAAGGAATTCCTTGTTATTGAAGGTATAATTAATTTAAAGGTTATATTTTAACCCTCTCATCTCTCACATAAAATACACTCTCACCTAGGGGTGTTCATGGATCGGTTTTTTCAAAAAACCGATCCAAACCGAACCGAACCGTTTTATAAAAGTGGATCGGTTAACTGATTCATTTTTTATAAAGTGGATCGGTTTGGTTTTTTTAAAATATGGATCGATTTTTTTGAAATTGGATCTGTTTGGTGCGGTCCAGTTATCCACTTTTTTACTCATATATGGATCGGTTTTTTTAGAAAACCAAACCGAACTGAACCAATCCACTTTGTAAAAATGGATCGGATAACTAAACCAGTTTTATAAAGTGGTTCGGTTCGGATTTTTTTTCAAAATGGATCGAATTTTTCAATATGGATTGGATCGGTTATAGATTGGTTCGGATCAATTTAGATTTTTTGCACACCCCTACTCTCACCTGATACGCTCCCTATATATGTATATATATAGAAAGAGAGAAAGAGGAATCCGTTTATTCCAAGAATAAGTTTATTTTGACTTACTTCGTTCAATAACTCATGTTCTACATCAAATTTTAACAATTCAACCATTGAATTTGAAGTTCTTAATGCACATATCAAATCTGCAAATTTTTCAAAAATTTGAAAACCATTTAATATTTCATTTCATTAATTCAAATCAATATATAAAATGATTTTATGATTATTCGTCAATTTGAATTAATGAAATGAAATATCAAATAATTTTAAATTTTCTAAAAATTTACAAATTTAATTTATGCATTAAGAAATTTAAATTTAACGGTTGGATCATTGAAATTTGATGTAGAACATGAGTTATTGAACGAAGTAAGTCAAAATAAACTTATTCTTGGAATAAACGGATTCCTCTTTCTCTCTTTCTATATATATACATATATAGGGAGCGTATCAGGTGAGAGTAGGGGTGTGCAAAAAATCTAAATTGATCCGAACCAATCTATAACCGATCCAATCCATATTGAAAAATTCGATCCATTTTGAAAAAAAATCCGAACCGAACCACTTTATAAAACTGGTTTAGTTATCCGATCCATTTTTACAAAGTGGATTGGTTCAGTTCGGTTTGGTTTTCTAAAAAAACCGATCCATATATGAGTAAAAAAGTGGATAACTGGACCGCACCAAACAGATCCAATTTCAAAAAAATCGATCCATATTTTAAAAAAACCAAACCGATCCACTTTATAAAAAATGAATCAGTTAACCGAT